TGTCATGTGGCTCTATGTGACCTTATTATGTTCATGTGGCCTTGCAATACGTCATATCTATCATAGCACGAAAATAGACATTGTATCATAATTTGCTTAATTTATTATATTGAAGTCTGTTTTCAATTTATATCCTTCCATATTATGACAAAAATGTGTTCGCTTTCGAAAAAAAATGTTTTTCTAATCATGGAGCAATGCTGATTGTACAGACCGCGTACTATTTAACAGTATTGAGTTATTGTCAATGTGCCAGTTTGCTCCAACACAAACGATTGCAATGTCAACAAACTAAACGCGAAGCAGAATGTAAAACGGGAAGTGGCCGTGTTGCGTGGCATGTTGCCATGTTATACCGGAAGTCGTCAGGTGAGCTTATCTTTGGAACGCGATACACGCCGATAAAATGTTCTATAACACACAAGAAATTGACATTTTATATTTACCATAAAAATTAATAGATGTAACCTTTCCTGCTTATGACCTGTAATAAATGGACAGATTGGTTCTGTAGGGAAGTCACTATCCTTCGACGCAGATGACTACGGTTTTATTTTTTTATGGTACGACCTAGACTAAAAATGTGTTGCTGCTTTCTCTCCCCGACAAAGTCATTTGATGCTAATTATCCTTCTAAGTTCCATTTGAAGAACATGAAGCCACAGCAAGTATTGGAATATGGTATAGCATAGGTAGTTAATCTGAAATCGGTTCTATTATATTTTTTAATAGACTTTTTACTTTTATCTGGTCTTCCAATACTCACTAGATTTATTGTAATTGGCGTACACATAATTTTGCGAACTCACAATACTATGCTTACTCGTGAGGAGTCAGATCCGCGAAAATAAATATACCATAAAATATCAGCAATATACAGTGTTCATTAATGTGTACATATAAAAGACGAAACACAAGTGAATTACGACTCTCTCTCTCTCTATATATATATATATATATAATTCTAAATACCAGTGAATGATGAAAATATGGACCTGCCTTGATTGTATTAGATCACGTACCTTAATAAGAACTCATATGAACATGTTTTTTTATCGCCGGTTCTGCTAGTTGTTCAACAAGCAATTTCAAACTTTTTACCTCATGTTTAGTACCATGAAATCAGTGTTAAAATCTTATTTTGGCACAATACAATACAGAAGCGTATTAATAAAATGTGGATTTAGAAGAATTCAAAATATGCTTTGATACTCCACTGTTAACGCTACCATACCTCATACCAAACTGAAATTACGCCTTATTTCTCTTATTTTGAGATATTTTTTTCCCCACAAAAAAAGTCGGACGGCAATAAAAATAATATCGTTCTAAACTGTCTAAGAGAATATTTTATGAAAAACACGAAAAAGACCAAATTAAAAAGTACCGAGGATGAAATCATGAGAACCTGTTTGAAAATTCTTTGCTGAATTCGTTGACAAGATTTTCTAGCTGACTGTAGTCATTCCTCTGGGAACAAACTGAGCCCCTCTTCTGACTGGTTTGGTTTTATTTTCCTATGAGGCTGAATTTATTCACACAGCTTATCACTGATAACAAAACCTTACCAAGTCCTTTAACTTAAGTTTCAGATGTATTTATGAAGGGCTAATTTTAATTAACAAGAAAGAGTTGACCAGGCCAATCTCAAATACTCTCCAGACCTTGAAACCAAGGACACTACAGACTCTTCTTCATCAAATGCTGCTTTCCTCGAACTTTAAGTTTTTTCTAAGTTGTTTAATAAGCGTGACGTTTTAGATTTCCCTATCATACACCCTTTTTCTTGATAGTAACATCCCTGCTTCCCCAAACATTCAGTGTGTATAAGTCACTGTTGATTCGGTAATCAATAACTTCTTTTGAATATCACGGCTTTTGTGATAGATGTCGCTTGCAGACTGACGTACAGATTTGTTATGGTCGCCGTCATATCTCACACGAAAATATAATATGTATTTGTGTGATATGATGGTCGATGTTTTTTTTAGTATGGTCATTAGCATGTGTTGTTGCTTCGTTTTCACTTCCCCCATTCTCCTTTGAATTTAACCTAGATTTACGTGGCGGATATCGTCGATGAAGCTTACTCTTCCGAAACACCTGGTCCCGTATTTATGAAACCGTTCCCATGCTCAAACTCAGATTCTGTGCTCAAGCCCAATAACAATAACATAATAATAATAATAAACAACATTTATATAGCGCCCTATATAATTTGTAAAATTACACTAAAGCGCTTTACAACATATGGATAATAGTAATGGTAATAATTGTGAAAACAAAAAACAAAGGCTTACAATCACTTTTATACATTTAAGCAAGCAATGTGCACATAATTGAACAAATAAAAGGGTGGTATTTACATAACGTCTTTGCAATGATTCTAAAATGCAGACGTGAAGAGGTGAGTTTTGATGTCCCTCTTCAACTTGGCCAGAGTATTGGACTTTCTGATTGCAGATGGTAAGCTATTCCACAACGTAGCCGGAAGCCTTCCAAAGCATCTGTTTCCGTAGGTCACAGTACAAGATTTTGGGACACACAACAAAGATTCTGACTCCGACCGCAGTGATCGTGACGGCTGATACAGGGTAACAAGCTCCTGTATGTACTGAGGAGCTGTTCCATTCAGTGCCTTGTATGTGTACACCAGAATTTTGTACTGCGACCTGTATCGTACAGGTAACCAGTGCAACGAATAGAGCACATGTGTGATGTGATCTCTCTTTCGAGTACGTGTTACTAGCCGTGCTGCAGTGTTCTGGACCCTCTACAGACGACTACTTAGTTTGTCAGATATACCACAGAGCAGGGCGTTACCATAATCCAACCGAGAGGTAACAAGTGAATGCACCAAAATCTTGCATGCATCTGCAGTTAAAAACTGCCGAATACAGCCGATGTTCCTGATCTGGTAGTAACAGGATTTGACAATAGCGTTCACTTGTTTCTCCATGTTCAGTGAACTATCAAAGTATACCCCAACAGTTAGTTTTCGAGATAAACTAATAAAAATTCACATCTTGAGAGACTGAAAGCCAAATAATATTTTCAATATTTCCACTTGCTTTTTTGACCATGTAACATAAATCAAGCGAGTTTCAAAAAAGCTGGCTTGAGCACAGAATTAAGGCTTGGGCACGAGAACGGTTTCAAGAATACGGGCCCTGGTCGTATTCGCCTGACAGAGTCAACAAGTTACCATCGGTTTTTTATTTCGAATAACGATTTTGTTGACACTTTGATTTTTGGTTTTCTTTTTACACAAATATGGTTTATTATAATTCCTTAAATCAGCGAAATAAAATCGTTCTTATAAAATATTATTAATCTATTCACTTATTTCAATAACTTACAGAACTTTTGGTCTGCATATTGTAAAACTAGACCTTAGTTCAATTATGGACAAAATTTTGGGTTAATATTTATAGTCACCTTAATTTTAGGAATTGTTCATTTCTGCAGAAGCTTTGCAAAAACCATGATAGCTTGCAGAATTGTCGATGGCTGACAAGCTCAACCACTATCATAAATTCTGCAAGTATTTCTAAAACACATTTAAACAGATGGTTTATATATTTTTCTGAGCGAACTCAACTCCTCCTGAAAAAGAAGTTTCGGAGTACAAATATTCTTTAAAAAAACGAAATATTGAAACATGCAAGTATTTAAAGGACACGAATCGTTAGAATGCAACTGTAATGCATAAAACCTTTTTTACTTCGGTTAAGATTTTCGATGTATCAACAGCATCACTTATGTGATATTTTGACTAATTCTCAAAAACAGGTGTGTGTGTGTTTCGATTTAAACTAATACTTTTTCCCCACCTTTCACAGAATAGCTGTGAGTGATTTCTTCTGTCAACCATTAGGATATAAACAGGCTACACGAAACTATCCGCTTGTCTCAACCTCAGCATTCCATTCATAAAAAGACAAGTGACCCAGCTCACTTATGAGTACAGCCGATTGAAGCACCGTCATGTTTCACACAAAGTGTATACTCCGAGCTAAGTGATGTCTTCAGGAGAAATGTAAGTTAAAACTCAAATCTGTATAGAAAATTCATAACAATTGATATGATACCTAACACATAATACATCTGATTTGAATTAGGGTTATTCTTTTTGAAAACTACCAATTAACACTATCTACCATTATTATAACTTCAGCTAATGATCATCTCCGCTATTTCTTCATACATTCTTTATATGTTATTCACGAAATAACAATAAGGTACTATTTATGTATATCTTTTTATCAGTGTCTGAATGTTATATTCTCAATATCTTCGCAAACAACTCTCCCGAAAATACATATTGATCGCAAAAATTGAGATACTAAGCTATACATGTATTCATATCTACCATCTAACTGCGTCGTCAGGACAATCTTATTTTTCAAAACTCTTTGAGAGCATCAATCAGGTTAAGATTAATTTAGACATAAAACTTATTACAAAATATGGAGAGGTCATGTTTCCACACTGATTCATATATATGTGTACTTAAAGTGAAACACGTGCGTCAAATTAGCACTGCCACAAGACAAGTTGTAAATTCTATTTTCATTCAGTATTTAAAATTCCTGGGCAAGTTGCCTCCGTCCTTGTCAATTGCCTTATATTGTATTTCCAACTTAGTTAAGTGTGAACTAATATTGCGGTTTTGCATTGAAAAACGTCAATCACACCAAATCTATTTAATAATGGAACAAATTCAATCTGCATTAATACTTTTCAATGAAATAAGTTATACTTTTGACAAAATGACGGATATGTTTGATATCAAATCATATTCTATATTATTCCTACATTCATTAAGTACGGACCTCCAATTTGCACAATACTCGTGACCTGGATCAATAGGCATGCAACCATTGTCATAGTTAAACATAAAATCTGCGCTCAAACCAACTTAATTGTAATTTATTAAAGGTCATTAAAATCATGCAATACAGTCAAAGAATAAACTACAGACGTTAAAAAATGGTAATCGGTTTTTAATTTCCATAGTCCATCCAAAACATCGGAATTTATTTAAGATTTATTAAAGTGATTGAGCAGAGAAACGGAGGCCGAATAATGTATATGGCTTCACGAATAAAGAAACTGCACAAACGCGCGAAAATTGAACCTCATAAGTTGGCTGTTCTTCTGAAAAATAAATAGACTTATATGTCTCTACAATGCTGAGGGAAATGAAAACACTGTTGATTTTTGTTAAGAACAAAAGAACACAAAAAGTTGACCTCGTTAATGAAGGCGCTGTCCAGTAAATATAACGAAATTTAATTTTGTATCACTATTTTATTTTTTAGGCAGGGAGACATACCATTTGGAGGTAAAAATAAAACTTGCAGTGGTAAATTCATTATCTTAAATGCATCATAAAAACGAGACACATTTGTACGTTTAATGTATATCTGGAGAAGGATTACCTTAAACTAGTAGGTAATACACCCCAGACTTCTACTCTACATGACATTTACCTTAAGACTGTGATTTCAAATTACATTGGTTACCCAAAATAAACACTTGATTAAAAACAAGTGGCTGCCTGTTTCATTAAAAAATCCGATACTTTTATTGTTTGATAGAAAATGACAAGTTAATAGGTTTAAGCAGACAAACAATTTCGCTTTGGTTGTGGAGACACATGTATAAGATGCGTTGAGTTACCATCTTTGATTGATGTCTGTGTCACGTGATTTGATGTTGACGGTGTCTTCCGGTTGAGTTCAGGATCTGAACCAGTATTGCATTCTCGACCTAACTCGACCGAAGAACCGGCATTACCGTTTTGTGCGTGATCAGAAACGTGTGGACGACAGGATTCTAAATCTGGCATTGGTACAGTTATCGAAGTTTGCATACCCTCATAGAGGCTGTGATGTCTGTTTTGTTTACTCCGAGGAAAATTGTCGAACCTAAATAATGCTTCATCGACCGATAGGCCGCGCCCTGATCGGCGATTCTGTCCATGTTGTCCCTTGCTTGGACTAAAATGTTCAAAATACAGGAATGATCCACTATCTCGATTTTTCCTAGAAAATGTTTCGTCTTTCCTGGCCCCTAAGGAATTTATTCGCGATCGACGACGTCTGTACTGAATCTGTGAATCTTTCGAGATGGCAGGATTCCATGCCAGGTCCAAGTCCTCTAAGTACTGCCATTCAGGAGATTCGAGTGTCTCCTGGATAGGTATTGACGCCTCCTCGCGTATAGACATCATCCGCTCACGCTTTGTTCGTATCCGTTTTCTCTGAAGATATAAATCAGTAGGGTTCAGAAATAATTCTGGTTTTTGTTCCTCTTTATCCACGGAAACCTTTACAATTTCTTCCGACGGGTTTTCCGCCTTTTTAGGGAATTGACCGGGTTTGAAAACATTTTCTAGTTCTACCTCCTCTTCTTTTATAGTTTTCATTTCTATCCTCCTGCTCTTTCCGCCTGACCTAGTTTGACAACTGTTCGAAGAGGACGATGTCGTCGTTGTCTTTGGTATCGATACACTCATCGTCGTCGTTGAATAGAAGTCATCGTTGTCATCGCCAGAGCTTGATTTTCTCGAATCTCTCCCACTAGGTCCACAGAAAAACTTATTTATCTCGAATCGCATTACCCTATTCATGAATACATATATAACAGGGTTGATTACCCCAGTCAGGAAGAGAAAACAGACAGCGAGCGAATCGCTGTAGGACACTATGGTGACTGATCTGAGCCTTAAAAACGACACCGTCATATATGGAACCCAACAAATAGCATATGTAAAAGCAATCAGCAGGATCGTTCGCACTGCCTTGCACTCCATATTTTGATATTTCACCTGAACGTTTTGTGAAACGTCACTAATATCCGATGAATCACTCGGCGGATCTTGGACCGAACTTGTAAGTCCTCTAATAGAACTCGTTTGCATTGAAGGATACACTCGACTCGACCGTTTTGTGTGGCTGATCGCCGCTTTGAAAATGCTCAGATAGCAGATTGCCTGGACAAGGAGAGGGAGAAGGAATACTAATATACACACTGTGGTGAGAAACTCACTAGACACCTCCCAGTTTATTGCACACGTGTATTGGTTTGGTATGTAGTCATACGAACCCCAGTTTAACAACGGCAGAGACGCTAACACTACACTCAACAACCAGCACATGGCTATCAGTATATTAGCAAGTTTCTGTGTAAAGACATTCACATAACGAAGCGAGTTTATAATGGCATAATTCCTGTCAAGGGAGATAACCATCAAGGAAAACTGTATGGAGAACACACACACACTAAAGATGAATCCTTGAATTTTGCACCAAATGTCGTTGAATATCCAACCTGACGAGGAGAAGACGGAGGTCAAGGTGAACGGCAATACCAAAACGGACAGCGCTGGACAAAAAAAATAAAAGGTTCATTATGTGGAATTTTTGAACTATTGACAAACTATAAAACCCCTATAATTGGTAGGTTAAGAGTCACATACAAACTTCCTTTATTTTGACCTTATTTTAAGGTGGCATGGACTTGCTCAAACATCTGATTAGTCATATTCCGTGTGAATCAATTATGTGTTTTACTGTTTTCGATAGAATAATGATATAGCTTATAAATGTCATAACGCTATAACTGCATTTTGACCAGAACCGCTCATACAGTCACAACTTTTAAATAAATAAGTTTTGGTACCGTGAAACATTAAGCGAAGTTTTTATCAGGGTTTTTTTTTGGAACAGAGTCAGTGTGAATAGACCATAATAATACAATCTGAATTTATTCTATTTTATCAGTGGATTATTATACAATAGTGATTTTTTATCACATTCCTGTGTTGTTTGTTAAAAAACTAAACAATATAATACCGAAGTGTCCACAAAAAACATTATTCGAACTAAAAATCGATAAAACTAGGGCATAACATAAACAAAGGAGAGATTCACATTGATATTATAAAAAAAGGTACAACGAGAATAAGACCATGAATTCCGAAAGGGTAAGCGTCTTTTACTTCATCGATAGCACATGCAATGTAAATAAATGGCACGTTGTCACATCAAACTCGGGTATTAACAACAAAACCACAATACTGATGAGTATAATAAAAAACGACCTTCATATTACACAAAGAAATGCTGAAAGATTCTGATGATGACCATTAAACCTGTTTATAGTTAAAAAAAGATGTACGAGGTAAGAATAAAACTGTTACATTAGCATGTAAAAAAACTTTAGTTTCCATGGCATATAATGTGGCATTATAATTGTGACGTCACAATAACATCATGTCAAACAAATAGCACTTTTTCACAATATTCATATATTGACATTTTCTTGATTTTGATTGGCCAGGTATGCATGAACAAATATTAGTTTGTGTATTTAAGGAACGATGTATTAATTCCACTCTTTTCATTAATTGTTTTACATAAAATGATAAAATCTTTTACACCAGTACTCTACTCAACGAACTTTATATAATAGTCTACTCACTATGGAATAAACTATTCCTATTTGCTTAGTTTTGCTTATTCAAAAACACTTGATCAAGATTTAGGGGTTCTCAAAACACATGTTATTGCATACTTCTACTCTGAAATGGTATAGATTTAATTCACTTTTGAAGCAAGAATTATTTATCGGTGGGGTGATTTTCCCAAAACAACATGTTAAGCCAGGAGAAGAACCATGATCCAGGGACATTACTGTTGCTAACCTACATAAACGATTAAAAGGTTCAAGATTAAAGGAAAAAAATTATATGATTTCAATATATTGAACTTGTGCATTAGCTATCGAAATGGCAAATATCTAGGACAAGACAGTCAATATCAAGGCATTAATAATGATGTTGTCATAAAAATAATTCATCGGATTTGTACCTACGAAACTAAGCTCTACATGCTCTAGGTATATAGATGTACTTTAGATAATGTCATTTCGTAGTATTGATTGGGCCGCAAAAGCGATTGAGATGCTATTAGTCCGACGCACTATTTCTTGAGGTGATCAGCCTAAAGGTCTTATTATTGATTACGATAAACATGCTATTCACAATTTCAATAAGTAATGTTCAATAAAGTTCAATATTTTCTTATTACAAAGATAAATTCCTATTTTTAATTTGGGTCTTTGAATATATTGCATCAGGGATTGGAAGTTTGGGTGACTATATCATATTTTGAGGGATGTGTTGAATCTTAACCTTCGATAGTCTTTGCTGATGACACGTACATGATAATCTTTCCATTTTCTAGTACAGAACTCGAGGAGTATATAATAAAATTTTGCGGGAATCGTAAATATGACGTCTTCCAACTAATTCAGATTAACCTAAAATTCTATTTGTAAGGACGCTGTATATAGAATTGACGTTGAGTTTGGTATATCACCCTAGAGATTGACATTGATATGCATATGGGAGATTGCGTTGAAATTACAAAAAAACGCCCTACCTTAAACAGTAAATGCATTAAAACAAATAAAATGTCTTTGAAATAAAACTATATCATCAGAAATAAACACCATTTTATTTAGGCCACAATCACAAGAGAAAAGATCAACATTTTTTCTAAATTCCACGTGGCTTGGTTTTAGCTTTTAATTGCAAGATTAAATAAAGCGTCACGAATTGAAATGAGCTAACCACCATCTGTGAGTGTAACAACTTTATATTTTCAAACTTGTTGGATGATACTTATAAAATATAGAGCCAAAATCAAACCAACCCGTTTCACAAAATGCACCATTAAAATGTCTCTATTGATTTATTCCATCATAATTTAGAGAAAATATTCCTTGTGCCCTTAAAAACCTAGAAAGTTCCAAAAACAAGATTGGCTGTCAGGACATTTTTACATCTGCTTGCATTAAATAATCTCACATAATACACACAAAAATGTTACTCTTCATGTGCAGTTCAAGAAGAAGAAGATTCGTCACTATCTGAACCGCCTGATTAATATGGTCAATCAAATTGATTCTAAACATAACACGTTTTCCTTCAGATAGGAATATTGAATAAATAGTAAAACAAATTAAGACACAACTGCCGCTAGCATATGCTTCAATTGTACCTTTGTTCTTAGAAGATTTATTATATATTCAGATCGAAGAAAGGCTGTGGAGAAATATTTACATGATATATCATCATAATGATGATAATTATTTTATTGTATGGCAATTGAGGTTTACAGATAATTGGAATTACTGAACGAGCTGCATATGGGTGTAGACTTTATGATAGACAGAGATTTTAATCAAATTATATTTTACGATATACTAGAAGTCAGGCATAGTTAACAAATTAATACTAACACGCAGCTAGGCGTAAAATAACAATATCTTACTTTCTGATATATCATCGATGCGGTGCTTTAAAAGGGCAAAAGACAAATTAACCCGTCGATTGATATACCCTCAAAAACTTAGAGTCAATGACACTACATGATAGTCTATATCACAAGCTTTCATCGATCTTTACTTACAACATGACAACAGGGACGGTTTACTACCATCTGTGAAACGATTGTGATTTTCCTATCGTAAACTTTCTCTTTCTTGATAGTAACATCCTGCTTACCCAACTTACGATGTTGACATGTTGATTGGATATTCCTGAGCTTTCTTCGAATATCATGACTTCTGTTATAGATTTTGACTGCTGTCAAGTAAACTTATAACTTTATGAAAGTTATAGATTGTAATCAAATCGACTTTTACGACATCTTAGTTAAGAAATTGAGTACAGAAATCAGTAAATACACATCATAAACCAACATCCATTCTTGAACGTTGTCCTACAGGTCATAACAAAAACAGGAAATATGATAAGTTACTATCTGTTATATCGATGATAAGGTGTATTTAAATAACAAGAAATTTTAATTACCACGTCAATCTTATAAATCCTCCTGAACTTGGAATGAAGGACTCTACAACTCGTCTATACCAGCGGCTTTCCCCGATCTTTACTCACAACGTGACCAACTTCTTATTATTTTTTCTATCGTGAACTTTCTCTTTCTTAAAAAAAACTTCCCGGCTTTCGCAACCGACGATAATCACATATCACAGTTGATTCGGTATTCAAAAACTCGTTCTGATCTGAATATCACTATTTCCGTTAAAGATGCCGAATGCTGGTCGACAAATGAACTTACAGCACAGGGTTTCTAGAAATACAGAACAATGAGCAAGTTTTAAAGTCGCCATCATTATTTGATTGGGAAATAATAGAAATCTTAATTAGTGTAATAAAGATTGATGTGTTTTAGTATGCTCTTCAGTGTAACTGAAGACATCACCCTCCTCGAACATCTTAACTTATTCTCATTGTACTGATCAAGGGTCTTAATTTCAGTAATTCCTTTGTTTATGTTTTGCTATAGTTTTGTCGATTTTTAGTTGACGCTTCGGAATTATCTTATTGTAGTCGTTGAAAGAAGGATATATAAAACATAGTAGTGAAGAAGATGTACGCAATCTTCGTCTTTAAAACAAGTGATTTTTGCGAAATCGCAAAAGTTGAATTACAAAACCCCTAAAAACATAAAATCATGAAATCACCGGAGTGAAAACGAAGTAAACAAAATGTAACGCTTATTACATCTCCAAATGCAAGGAATGTGAATATATGGCTACCAGTAAATAATCTTAACAATATCTTGATAAATGACCAGAAAACGAAAAGAATACTTTGGGGGGAAAAGAAAATCTACACAGTTTATGATGCAAATTGAAATTACAATAACTATTTGTACAGTTCCATATCAGAAGGACGAAAGATCTTACAATTTCAATTGATATAAGTTCGTCAATGTCGTGTTGAACACAAAATGTTAATTTATGTTTTGATTTCGCTTTTGTTATGATTGAATTTCCCTTTGATATCTTATGAACATGTTACTTTAAATTAATAATTTAAACAGACATTTTTCATATTTCATAAGAAAGTAATATAATATAAAGTAAACATCTTACCCAGCTCCGAGCAGGACAGGTTCAGAACGAAGCTGTTCGAGATGCTTAAGAGATTGGACTTCCGGTAAAAGACGAAGCATACCATCCCGTTGGCTGCGACCGACAGGGCTAAAATGACTCCTAGACACAGAGCCATCACGGAGATACCTACATTGACATCTCGTTCGCAGTCCGCACTCTCTGTCAGATTACAGTTCGTGTATGGCATGACTAGTTTTTATAATCCCTCTTTGTCACAGATTGTAACATTTCTAAGTAATTAGGTTTCCAAAATGAGAAAATACAGCATGCTGACTCAGAAGTAAGACATATATTTCAAAGTAGCTTCCTAATGTAGCATCGCTATTTGATCATTTTTCTCCCAACATAACGCATAATCACATAATATCTCCATGTATTATATTTCCAGGCATAATATAATACCATCGCATTAGGTGCTCTTTAACGGGCAAAGTCTAAAGTGATCATAGCACACAGTAGAATACTCCGACCCAACGACTTTCACATGTACATTGCCAACACGTACCGGTAACCGTTAAGTGTGTGAATGCCTTTCCAATAAATGGTTTCCCAAAATTTGTCATTATTTAATGGAATAACACTGATTCTTTATATTTATTCCCATAAGAAAATTCGATGGTAGATTTTCGCACGTTACTACCGAACGTAAAAATGATCACAAAGACACTGCTATTTTGCCTTTATGAATATACGAAGGAACCGGATTGCCTGGCCTTTCTTTGGTCAAGTTTATACTGTTATGACAATACTATATTTTGTGTAGGTTTTGATCGTTAATTGGATAGCACCTCGGTCTCACGTTAGGTCTACGATCAGTTTTGGGTAACACTGCCAAATGTCTCTTGGTTAGAGTTGACGTAACGAAATAACACATGTCTTCCTGGTATTGTTGTCATTGCGGATGGTTCTTACGACCAGCGTCAATCGTTACTTATGGTATTCACTTTAAAAGTATGCGTAGGGATTGAAAGGACAAGCGACAAACGTGCGATGACAACTTCCGGCTACATACACGTATGTGTTTACAATACAGTAAGAGGTTATCGGTGTTTCACTTGATGACATACACACGACTGTTGTCACTAAGTACATGGTTAGGGTGACATTTCTTAAAGTTCAATGCCAGGAAAATGTTGGAAACACATACACTTGATTATTAAAAGGAAATGTAAACATCCATGGGCGATTCTTCCAAAATTTCACAGTGTTGGTAGGATTGTGACCGCCTGTCAAACTCCGTTACATAAGGTTTTAATATAAACCTTCCTTCGTGACTCCTCCAACACTATAGAGTTTTCATTTGGGATTGTTTTATATAATCAGAAACGCATTGCATAACTCCGTTACACTAGGCCAAATCCTTACAGCTATGTGACAGTCTGTTAAACTCCGTTACACTAGAAGAAATCCTTGCAGTNTTCACTTGTTTCTCCATGTTCAGTGAACTATCAAAGTATACCCCAACAGTTAGTTTTCGAGATAAACTAATAAAAATTCACATCTTGAGAGACTGAAAGCCAAATAATATTTTCAATATTTCCACTTGCTTTTTTGACCATGTAACATAAATCAAGCGAGTTTCAAAAAAGCTGGCTTGAGCACAGAATTAAGGCTTGGGCACGAGAACGGTTTCAAGAATACGGGCCCTGGTCGTATTCGCCTGACAGAGTCAACAAGTTACCATCGGTTTTTTATTTCGAATAACGATTTTGTTGACACTTTGATTTTTGGTTTTCTTTTTACACAAATATGGTTTATTATAATTCCTTAAATCAGCGAAATAAAATCGTTCTTATAAAATATTATTAATCTATTCACTTATTTCAATAACTTACAGAACTTTTGGTCTGCATATTGTAAAACTAGACCTTAGTTCAATTATGGACAAAATTTTGGGTTAATATTTATAGTCACCTTAATTTTAGGAATTGTTCATTTCTGCAGAAGCTTTGCAAAAACCATGATAGCTTGCAGAATTGTCGATGGCTGACAAGCTCAACCACTATCATAAATTCTGCAAGTATTTCTAAAACACATTTAAACAGATGGTTTATATATTTTTCTGAGCGAACTCAACTCCTCCTGAAAAAGAAGTTTCGGAGTACAAATATTCTTTAAAAAAACGAAATATTGAAACATGCAAGTATTTAAAGGACACGAATCGTTAGAATGCAACTGTAATGCATAAAACCTTTTTTACTTCGGTTAAGATTTTCGATGTATCAACAGCATCACTTATGTGATATTTTGACTAATTCTCAAAAACAGGTGTGTGTGTGTTTCGATTTAAACTAATACTTTTTCCCCACCTTTCACAGAATAGCTGTGAGTGATTTCTTCTGTCAACCATTAGGATATAAACAGGCTACACGAAACTATCCGCTTGTCTCAACCTCAGCATTCCATTCATAAAAAGACAAGTGACCCAGCTCACTTATGAGTACAGCCGATTGAAGCACCGTCATGTTTCACACAAAGTGTATACTCCGAGCTAAGTGATGTCTTCAGGAGAAATGTAAGTTAAAACTCAAATCTGTATAGAAAATTCATAACAATTGATATGATACCTAACACATAATACATCTGATTTGAATTAGGGTTATTCTTTTTGAAAACTACCAATTAACACTATCTACCATTATTATAACTTCAGCTAATGATCATCTCCGCTATTTCTTCATACATTCTTTATATGTTATTCACGAAATAACAATAAGGTACTATTTATGTATATCTTTTTATCAGTGTCTGAATGTTATATTCTCAATATCTTCGCAAACAACTCTCCCGAAAATACATATTGATCGCAAAAATTGAGATACTAAGCTATACATGTATTCATATCTACCATCTAACTGCGTCGTCAGGACAATCTTATTTTTCAAAACTCTTTGAGAGCATCAATCAGGTTAAGATTAATTTAGACATAAAACTTATTACAAAATATGGAGAGGTCATGTTTCCACACTGATTCATATATATGTGTACTTAAAGTGAAACACGTGCGTCAAATTAGCACTGCCACAAGACAAGTTGTAAATTCTATTTTCATTCAGTATTTAAAATTCCTGGGCAAGTTGCCTCCGTCCTTGTCAATTGCCTTATATTGTATTTCCAACTTAGTTAAGTGTGAACTAATATTGCGGTTTTGCATTGAAAAACGTCAATCACACCAAATCTATTTAATAATGGAACAAATTCAATCTGCATTAATACTTTTCAATGAAATAAGTTATACTTTTGACAAAATGACGGATATGTTTGATATCAAATCATATTCTATATTATTCCTACATTCATTAAGTACGGACCTCCAATTTGCACAATACTCGTGACCTGGATCAATAGGCATGCAACCATTGTCATAGTTAAACATAAAATCTGCGCTCAAACCAACTTAATTGTAATTTATTAAAGGTCATTAAAATCATGCAATACAGTCAAAGAATAAACTACAGACGTTAAAAAATGGTAATCGGTTTTTAATTTCCATAGTCCATCCAAAACATCGGAATTTATTTAAGATTTATTAAAGTGATTGAGCAGAGAAACGGAGGCCGAATAATGTATATGGCTTCACGAATAAAGAAACTGCACAAACGCGCGAAAATTGAACCTCATAAGTTGGCTGTTCTTCTGAAAAATAAATAGACTTATATGTCTCTACAATGCTGAGGGAAATGAAAACACTGTTGATTTTTGTTAAGAACAAAAGAACACAAAAAGTTGACCTCGTTAATGAAGGCGCTGTCCAGTAAATATAACGAAATTTAATTTTGTATCACTATTTTATTTTTTAGGCAGGGAGACATACCATTTGGAGGTAAAAATAAAACTTGCAGTGGTAAATTCATTATCTTAAATGCATCATAAAAACGAGACACATTTGTACGTTTAATGTATATCTGGAGAAGGATTACCTTAAACTAGTAGGTAATACACCCCAGACTTCTACTCTACATGACATTTACCTTAAGACTGTGATTTCAAATTACATTGGTTACCCAAAATAAACACTTGATTAAAAACAAGTGGCTGCCTGTTTCATTAAAAAATCCGATACTTTTATTGTTTGATAGAAAATGACAAGTTAATAGGTTTAAGCAGACAAACAATTTCGCTTTGGTTGTGGAGACACATGTATAAGATGCGTTGAGTTACCATCTTTGATTGATGTCTGTGTCACGTGATTTGATGTTGACGGTGTCTTCCGGTTGAGTTCAGGATCTGAACCAGTATTGCATTCTCGACCTAACTCGACCGAAGAACCGGCATTACCGTTTTGTGCGTGATCAGAAACGTGTGGACGACAGGATTCTAAATCTGGCATTGGTACAGTTATCGAAGTTTGCATACCCTCATAGAGGCTGTGATGTCTGTTTTGTTTACTCCGAGGAAAATTGTCGAACCTAAATAATGCTTCATCGACCGATAGGCCGCGCCCTGATCGGCGATTCTGTCCATGTTGTCCCTTGCTTGGACTAAAATGTTCAAAATACAGGAATGATCCACTATCTCGATTTTTCCTAGAAAATGTTTCGTCTTTCCTGGCCCCTAAGGAATTTATTCGCGATCGACGACGTCTGTACTGAATCTGTGAATCTTTCGAGATGGCAGGATTCCATGCCAGGTCCAAGTCCTCTAAGTACTGCCATTCAGGAGATTCGAGTGTCTCCTGGATAGGTATTGACGCCTCCTCGCGTATAGACATCATCCGCTCACGCTTTGTTCGTATCCGTTTTCTCTGAAGATATAAATCAGTAGGGTTCAGAAATAATTCTGGTTTTTGTTCCTCTTTATCCACGGAAACCTTTACAATTTCTTCCGACGGGTTTTCCGCCTTTTTAGGGAATTGACCGGGTTTGAAAACATTTTCTAGTTCTACCTCCTCTTCTTTTATAGTTTTCATTTCTATCCTCCTGCTCTTTCCGCCTGACCTAGTTTGACAACTGTTCGAAGAGGACGATGTCGTCGTTGTCTTTGGTATCGATACACTCATCGTCGTCGTTGAATAGAAGTCATCGTTGTCATCGCCAGAGCTTGATTTTCTCGAATCTCTCCCACTAGGTCCACAGAAAAACTTATTTATCTCGAATCGCATTACCCTATTCATGAATACATATATAACAGGGTTGATTACCCCAGTCAGGAAGAGAAAACAGACAGCGAGCGAATCGCTGTAGGACACTATGGTGACTGATCTGAGCCTTAAAAACGACACCGTCATATATGGAACCCAACAAATAGCATATGTAAAAGCAATCAGCAGGATCGTTCGCACTGCCTTGCACTCCATATTTTGATATTTCACCTGAACGTTTTGTGAAACGTCACTAATATCCGATGAATCACTCGGCGGATCTTGGACCGAACTTGTAAGTCCTCTAATAGAACTCGTTTGCATTGAAGGATACACTCGACTCGACCGTTTTGTGTGGCTGATCGCCGCTTTGAAAATGCTCAGATAGCAGATTGCCTGGACAAGGAGAGGGAGAAGGAATACTAATATACACACTGTGGTGAGAAACTCACTAGACACCTCCCAGTTTATTGCACACGTGTATTGGTTTGGTATGTAGTCATACGAACCCCAGTTTAACAACGGCAGAGACGCTAACACTACACTCAACAACCAGCACATGGCTATCAGTATATTAGCAAGTTTCTGTGTAAAGACATTCACATAACGAAGCGAGTTTATAATGGCATAATTCCTGTCAAGGGAGATAACCATCAAGGAAAACTGTATGGAGAACACACACACACTAAAGATGAATCCTTGAATTTTGCACCAAATGTCGTTGAATATCCAACCTGACGAGGAGAAGACGGAGGTCAAGGTGAACGGCAATACCAAAACGGACAGCGCTGGACAAAAAAAATAAAAGGTTCATTATGTGGAATTTTTGAACTATTGACAAACTATAAAACCCCTATAATTGGTAGGTTAAGAGTCACATACAAACTTCCTTTATTTTGACCTTATTTTAAGGTGGCATGGACTTGCTCAAACATCTGATTAGTCATATTCCGTGTGAATCAATTATGTGTTTTACTGTTTTCGATAGAATAATGATATAGCTTATAAATGTCATAACGCTATAACTGCATTTTGACCAGAACCGCTCATACAGTCACAACTTTTAAATAAATAAGTTTTGGTACCGTGAAACATTAAGCGAAGTTTTTATCAGGGTTTTTTTTTGGAACAGAGTCAGTGTGAATAGACCATAATAATACAATCTGAATTTATTCTATTTTATCAGTGGATTATTATACAATAGTGATTTTTTATCACATTCCTGTGTTGTTTGTTAAAAAACTAAACAATATAATACCGAAGTGTCCACAAAAAACATTATTCGAACTAAAAATCGATAAAACTAGGGCATAACATAAACAAAGGAGAGATTCACATTGATATTATAAAAAAAGGTACAACGAGAATAAGACCATGAATTCCGAAAGGGTAAGCGTCTTTTACTTCATCGATAGCACATGCAATGTAAATAAATGGCACGTTGTCACATCAAACTCGGGTATTAACAACAAAACCACAATACTGATGAGTATAATAAAAAACGACCTTCATATTACACAAAGAAATGCTGAAAGATTCTGATGATGACCATTAAACCTGTTTATAGTTAAAAAAAGATGTACGAGGTAAGAATAAAACTGTTACATTAGCATGTAAAAAAACTTTAGTTTCCATGGCATATAATGTGGCATTATAATTGTGACGTCACAATAACATCATGTCAAACAAATAGCACTTTTTCACAATATTCATATATTGACATTTTCTTGATTTTGATTGGCCAGGTATGCATGAACAAATATTAGTTTGTGTATTTAAGGAACGATGTATTAATTCCACTCTTTTCATTAATTGTTTTACATAAAATGATAAAATCTTTTACACCAGTACTCTACTCAACGAACTTTATATAATAGTCTACTCACTATGGAATAAACTATTCCTATTTGCTTAGTTTTGCTTATTCAAAAACACTTGATCAAGATTTAGGGGTTCTCAAAACACATGTTATTGCATACTTCTACTCTGAAATGGTATAGATTTAATTCACTTTTGAAGCAAGAATTATTTATCGGTGGGGTGATTTTCCCAAAACAACATGTTAAGCCAGGAGAAGAACCATGATCCAGGGACATTACTGTTGCTAACCTACATAAACGATTAAAAGGTTCAAGATTAAAGGAAAAAAATTATATGATTTCAATATATTGAACTTGTGCATTAGCTATCGAAATGGCAAATATCTAGGACAAGACAGTCAATATCAAGGCATTAATAATGATGTTGTCATAAAAATAATTCATCGGATTTGTACCTACGAAACTAAGCTCTACATGCTCTAGGTATATAGATGTACTTTAGATAATGTCATTTCGTAGTATTGATTGGGCCGCAAAAGCGATTGAGATGCTATTAGTCCGACGCACTATTTCTTGAGGTGATCAGCCTAAAGGTCTTATTATTGATTACGATAAACATGCTATTCACAATTTCAATAAGTAATGTTCAATAAAGTTCAATATTTTCTTATTACAAAGATAAATTCCTATTTTTAATTTGGGTCTTTGAATATATTGCATCAGGGATTGGAAGTTTGGGTGACTATATCATATTTTGAGGGATGTGTTGAATCTTAACCTTCGATAGTCTTTGCTGATGACACGTACATGATAATCTTTCCATTTTCTAGTACAGAACTCGAGGAGTATATAATAAAATTTTGCGGGAATCGTAAATATGACGTCTTCCAACTAATTCAGATTAACCTAAAATTCTATTTGTAAGGACGCTGTATATAGAATTGACGTTGAGTTTGGTATATCACCCTAGAGATTGACATTGATATGCATATGGGAGATTGCGTTGAAATTACAAAAAAACGCCCTACCTTAAACAGTAAATGCATTAAAACAAATAAAATGTCTTTGAAATAAAACTATATCATCAGAAATAAACACCATTTTATTTAGGCCACAATCACAAGAGAAAAGATCAACATTTTTTCTAAATTCCACGTGGCTTGGTTTTAGCTTTTAATTGCAAGATTAAATAAAGCGTCACGAATTGAAATGAGCTAACCACCATCTGTGAGTGTAACAACTTTATATTTTCAAACTTGTTGGATGATACTTATAAAATATAGAGCCAAAATCAAACCAACCCGTTTCACAAAATGCACCATTAAAATGTCTCTATTGATTTATTCCATCATAATTTAGAGAAAATATTCCTTGTGCCCTTAAAAACCTAGAAAGTTCCAAAAACAAGATTGGCTGTCAGGACATTTTTACATCTGCTTGCATTAAATAATCTCACATAATACACACAAAAATGTTACTCTTCATGTGCAGTTCAAGAAGAAGAAGATTCGTCACTATCTGAACCGCCTGATTAATATGGTCAATCAAATTGATTCTAAACATAACACGTTTTCCTTCAGATAGGAATATTGAATAAATAGTAAAACAAATTAAGACACAACTGCCGCTAGCATATGCTTCAATTGTACCTTTGTTCTTAGAAGATTTATTATATATTCAGATCGAAGAAAGGCTGTGGAGAAATATTTACATGATATATCATCATAATGATGATAATTATTTTATTGTATGGCAATTGAGGTTTACAGATAATTGGAATTACTGAACGAGCTGCATATGGGTGTAGACTTTATGATAGACAGAGATTTTAATCAAATTATATTTTACGATATACTAGAAGTCAGGCATAGTTAACAAATTAATACTAACACGCAGCTAGGCGTAAAATAACAATATCTTACTTTCTGATATATCATCGATGCGGTGCTTTAAAAGGGCAAAAGACAAATTAACCCGTCGATTGATATACCCTCAAAAACTTAGAGTCAATGACACTACATGATAGTCTATATCACAAGCTTTCATCGATCTTTACTTACAACATGACAACAGGGACGGTTTACTACCATCTGTGAAACGATTGTGATTTTCCTATCGTAAACTTTCTCTTTCTTGATAGTAACATCCTGCTTACCCAACTTACGATGTTGACATGTTGATTGGATATTCCTGAGCTTTCTTCGAATATCATGACTTCTGTTATAGATTTTGACTGCTGTCAAGTAAACTTATAACTTTATGAAAGTTATAGATTGTAATCAAATCGACTTTTACGACATCTTAGTTAAGAAATTGAGTACAGAAATCAGTAAATACACATCATAAACCAACATCCATTCTTGAACGTTGTCCTACAGGTCATAACAAAAACAGGAAATATGATAAGTTACTATCTGTTATATCGATGATAAGGTGTATTTAAATAACAAGAAATTTTAATTACCACGTCAATCTTATAAATCCTCCTGAACTTGGAATGAAGGACTCTACAACTCGTCTATACCAGCGGCTTTCCCCGATCTTTACTCACAACGTGACCAACTTCTTATTATTTTTTCTATCGTGAACTTTCTCTTTCTTAAAAAAAACTTCCCGGCTTTCGCAACCGACGATAATCACATATCACAGTTGATTCGGTATTCAAAAACTCGTTCTGATCTGAATATCACTATTTCCGTTAAAGATGCCGAATGCTGGTCGACAAATGAACTTACAGCACAGGGTTTCTAGAAATACAGAACAATGAGCAAGTTTTAAAGTCGCCATCATTATTTGATTGGGAAATAATAGAAATCTTAATTAGTGTAATAAAGATTGATGTGTTTTAGTATGCTCTTCAGTGTAACTGAAGACATCACCCTCCTCGAACATCTTAACTTATTCTCATTGTACTGATCAAGGGTCTTAATTTCAGTAATTCCTTTGTTTATGTTTTGCTATAGTTTTGTCGATTTTTAGTTGACGCTTCGGAATTATCTTATTGTAGTCGTTGAAAGAAGGATATATAAAACATAGTAGTGAAGAAGATGTACGCAATCTTCGTCTTTAAAACAAGTGATTTTTGCGAAATCGCAAAAGTTGAATTACAAAACCCCTAAAAACATAAAATCATGAAATCACCGGAGTGAAAACGAAGTAAACAAAATGTAACGCTTATTACATCTCCAAATGCAAGGAATGTGAATATATGGCTACCAGTAAATAATCTTAACAATATCTTGATAAATGACCAGAAAACGAAAAGAATACTTTGGGGGGAAAAGAAAATCTACACAGTTTATGATGCAAATTGAAATTACAATAACTATTTGTACAGTTCCATATCAGAAGGACGAAAGATCTTACAATTTCAATTGATATAAGTTCGTCAATGTCGTGTTGAACACAAAATGTTAATTTATGTTTTGATTTCGCTTTTGTTATGATTGAATTTCCCTTTGATATCTTATGAACATGTTACTTTAAATTAATAATTTAAACAGACATTTTTCATATTTCATAAGAAAGTAATATAATATAAAGTAAACATCTTACCCAGCTCCGAGCAGGACAGGTTCAGAACGAAGCTGTTCGAGATGCTTAAGAGATTGGACTTCCGGTAAAAGACGAAGCATACCATCCCGTTGGCTGCGACCGACAGGGCTAAAATGACTCCTAGACACAGAGCCATCACGGAGATACCTACATTGACATCTCGTTCGCAGTCCGCACTCTCTGTCAGATTACAGTTCGTGTATGGCATGACTAGTTTTTATAATCCCTCTTTGTCACAGATTGTAACATTTCTAAGTAATTAGGTTTCCAAAATGAGAAAATACAGCATGCTGACTCAGAAGTAAGACATATATTTCAAAGTAGCTTCCTAATGTAGCATCGCTATTTGATCATTTTTCTCCCAACATAACGCATAATCACATAATATCTCCATGTATTATATTTCCAGGCATAATATAATACCATCGCATTAGGTGCTCTTTAACGGGCAAAGTCTAAAGTGATCATAGCACACAGTAGAATACTCCGACCCAACGACTTTCACATGTACATTGCCAACACGTACCGGTAACCGTTAAGTGTGTGAATGCCTTTCCAATAAATGGTTTCCCAAAATTTGTCATTATTTAATGGAATAACACTGATTCTTTATATTTATTCCCATAAGAAAATTCGATGGTAGATTTTCGCACGTTACTACCGAACGTAAAAATGATCACAAAGACACTGCTATTTTGCCTTTATGAATATACGAAGGAACCGGATTGCCTGGCCTTTCTTTGGTCAAGTTTATACTGTTATGACAATACTATATTTTGTGTAGGTTTTGATCGTTAATTGGATAGCACCTCGGTCTCACGTTAGGTCTACGATCAGTTTTGGGTAACACTGCCAAATGTCTCTTGGTTAGAGTTGACGTAACGAAATAACACATGTCTTCCTGGTATTGTTGTCATTGCGGATGGTTCTTACGACCAGCGTCAATCGTTACTTATGGTATTCACTTTAAAAGTATGCGTAGGGATTGAAAGGACAAGCGACAAACGTGCGATGACAACTTCCGGCTACATACACGTATGTGTTTACAATACAGTAAGAGGTTATCGGTGTTTCACTTGATGACATACACACGACTGTTGTCACTAAGTACATGGTTAGGGTGACATTTCTTAAAGTTCAATGCCAGGAAAATGTTGGAAACACATACACTTGATTATTAAAAGGAAATGTAAACATCCATGGGCGATTCTTCCAAAATTTCACAGTGTTGGTAGGATTGTGACCGCCTGTCAAACTCCGTTACATAAGGTTTTAATATAAACCTTCCTTCGTGACTCCTCCAACACTATAGAGTTTTCATTTGGGATTGTTTTATATAATCAGAAACGCATTGCATAACTCCGTTACACTAGGCCAAATCCTTACAGCTATGTGACAGTCTGTTAAACTCCGTTACACTAGGCCAAATCCTTACAGCTATGTGACAGACTGTAAAACTCCGTTACACTAGGCCAAATCCTTGCAGCTATGTGACTGTTTGTCAAACTTCGTTCCTCCAAAATCATTCAGTATTCATATGGAATTGTTTGTCAAACACCCTTACACTGAAAACGTTTAAGGGTGATTCCTTCAAAATTATTCAGCATTCATTTGTAATTGTTTCATATTATCTGAAATCCTTACGCCGTTGAGATCTTCTGTTAAAACACTAATATACAAGGGACTGGTTTGTTCAAAGTGTGTTTAGATTTCACTCGTCAGTTCTTCATTGTTCCTATAGTCCTTGCACTGTCATGACCTTCTGTTAGACACCTTCACACTAGGCGCCGTATACTCTTATCTAGACACACTGTATACGTGCTGTGATGGTTTGTCACGCCCCCTGTATTAGAGATAAAACAAAACCAGAATAGGACACTACAATTATAAAAGGTATTGAAAATATAGTCACGATAGCATTTTCAGATTATGTGGAAAACAATCCAGAATGATATAAATAAACACCAGAATATTTTCGGATAATGTAGAACACCCGCTGATGGCGGTAACATAATAGTCTACCTGCGGTATAAACGCATCCTCGTCTACAGCCACCAATCTTTAACAACAAATTGGATATTTCTATATAATGTGTGAAGCTGCAACATAATATTATACCCCTTCCGGCGACAAAGGATGACATTTGATTCACGTACCAAAAGGCCATGGTTTAATCATTTTACATACACTATATCACTGCCGCAAGGTTTAGTATTCTAAGCTAACATATACAGTAATAGGGATGCAGCTATTACCTGCTCTGTGGTGCGTCTTCGAGTATGTCAAGCACATTTTAATAATGGCAATAATAGTATCCTGGCAACTATAAAATGGCCCTGGAGATTATATCGATTACATTATAGTCATTAAACCCTGTAAAATCTGTCATTTCGTAGCTCATATCCGGTTGGAAGCTCTTTGGTTTCAGAACTAATATCCTTTCATTGGATAAAAAATATTGAAATTAATTCTTACCTAGACGCATGATGCTACAAAGCTTATTTCAGATCGTGGCAATTATTGTACGTCAATTTTAGTATTTAGACAATGTTCTTGACGACGTTTGTAGATATGAATTCTTACCTAAGCACGGTTATAACCAAAGCTGACTTAATACCCTTTTCGTATACATCGTCTTCAAATATTTGTCCTTTAATAATGCCTTTGTATTTGCAATGGATTGGGACAGCTTTTTACCTGATCCAATAAATATTGCTTATTATTCTTTTATAATTAAAACTCCAAAGAAGGCTAGGTAAAAAAAAATCAAACCATCAATAAAGGGACACAATGGATATTTGAACCGATGGATGAGTATGATCACCATATTTACATTACAATTACATGACATTCCATATTGATTCACTTTGATTAATTTTGGTTGGTATATATGATAGATATTGAAAGCATTGCTATGGTCACCATTTGGAAAGAAAAAAATATTATTATTTTTTTAAGAATACTTAATAGATATATATTGTTTGGATATTAGGATAAAAGATTCAAAGTTTACAATACCGATTTTTTTTATAACAGCTTTTGAAAACGGTAAGGTTTTTAAGTCCGACTATTGAAACAATTTTACAACTAAATGTCCTAGTGTATGCTAGTATGCCTTTGGTCAAGCGTGTCAATAATTACACGGGTAATTTGACACAACGTTACAACTAAATTTCCCAAGGTGTACTCGTGTGTTCCTGGTAATAAAGTGTCAATAATTACACGGGTTACTTAACAGAACGTCACAACTAATGTCACAGAGCGTACTCGTGTGTCCCTGGTCATAAGGTGTCAGTAATAACACGAGTTACTTAACACAACGTCACAACTAATGTCCTAGCGCGTTCTAGTGTGTCCCTTGTCATAAGGTGTCAATAATAACACGAGTTATTTAACACAACGTCACAACTAATGTCCCTGGACATAAGGTATCAATAATAACACGAGTTACTTAACACAACGTCACAACTAATGTACCCAGAGCGTACTCGTGTGTCCCTGGTCATAAGGTGTCAATAATAACACGAGTTACTTAACACAACGTCACAACTAATGTCCCAGAGCGTACTCGTGTGTCCCTGGTCATAAGGTGTCAATAACAACACGAGTTACTTAACACAACGTCACAACTAATGTCCCACTGTGTACTCGTGTGTCCCTGGTCATAAGGTGTCAATAATAACACGAGTTATTTAACACAACGTCACAACTAATGTCCCACTGTGTACTCGTGTGTCCCTGGTCATAAGGCGTCAATAATAACACGAGTTATTTAACACAACGTCACAACTAATGTCCTACTGTGTACTTGTGTCTCCCTGGTCATAAGGTGTCAGTAATAACACGAGTTATTTAACACAACGTCACAACTAATGTCCTACTGTGTACTTGTGTCTCCCTGGTCATAAGGTGTCAGTAATAACACGAGTTACTTAACACAACGTCACAACTAATGTCCCACTGTGTACTCGTGTGTCCCTGGTCATAAGGTGTCAATAATAACACGAGTTACTTGACACAACGTCACAACTAATGTCCCAGAGCGTACTAGTGTCTCCCTGGTCATAAGATGTCAATAATAACACGAGTTACTTAACACAACGTCACAACTAATGTCCTAGAGCGTACTAGTGTCTCCCTGGGCATCAGGTGTCAATAATAACACGAGTTATTTAACACAACGTCACAACTAATGTCCCAGAGCGTACTAGTGTGTCCCTGGTCATAAGGTGTCAGTGATAACACGAGTTACTTAACACAACGTCACAACTAATGTCCCAGAGCGTACTCGTGTGTCCCTGGTCATAAGGTGTCAGTAATTACACTGGTTTATCAGCTCCCTCCTAGGCAGAATGATATACAGCAGTAATAAAGGGTCTAACCACATACCTAGAGCCAATAAAGGCTTGCTCCGGTATCATTGCCTCTTCGATCACTTAGTCAGCATTGTGACGTCAAACCAAATCCACAGATTCACTCTTCATGAAAATGACGTACCTTTGCAATTTTCTTCCCATCAGAATGCTCACGTATTTTTCATATAGTATCATGCACGAATATTTTTAGCAAATTTGCATATACATGCGCTTTCTGCATTGAGTCGTCTATTATGCGCAGTTGATATCGGTTTCGATTTTTTTTATCAGCGATTATAACTGGCATCTGCGTGATGACGTCTTAAATCGAGATCAACATTTTTTCACTTGATGTGGTGTTCGTTTTTCACAATTTTATATCGGTATTACCTGTACCAATGTGATTACGTTATCAGTTGTGATAAACAATTCTCGCTGGATTTCTAATGAAGATGTCTATTTTTTTCAGTATGTGTTGGCGAGCATGTGATGAAGGCTCTGTATTCAGCGTTTACTCTTGAGATGTATTGCGCTGGCCTTACAGTTTGAGCTCGTCTGTTATATCATTTCCTATATATTGGTCCACGTGGAAATTTCTGCCTTTGGTTAAAGTGTATTGATTGACATATGATAACAGCTGTGGGATAAGTTTACAGACGGACGCTGTCACGTGGGTTCGGTTTATAGACGATTCTAAACTATCCGTGGCGTTTCCTTTTGTTGCTTGACCGACACAGGTGAAACTATCAGTCCAGTTTAGAATTACACAACAGCTTATATTAGTTATATCCAGATTCAACATTTGTAGATACAACTGTCAAAATATTCCCATCGGAAATGCACTTTATCACCATAACTGTTTCACTTGAAAAAGTACTAAATAATAACTAATTAAATATTCTTTTTTTCAACTATACGTAGCGTTTTGTTCCAGTGGTATAAGCATTACATATCCATGAGGGATATGTATCGCCCCACAGCTTGAATGTTCCAGTGATATTTTTTTATTAAATCTTAATCAGGACTCGTATCGGCCTATATTTTGTGAGTTCCAGTAGTAAGATAAGCGCTTAAGCAGTTATGCAGGCACAACTGAACTGCCAAACGAACGAACAGAGTCAATGGAAGCTTACTTTGCATGCTTTCCCAATTTTCAATCACAAAGCATCGATCCTTCATTAGCATCACAATTCATGTATCTCACAAGTCTTTAAGATCAGCAAGTCAATAGTTGTAATATCAAACTGTCTAAAATCAAATCTTTCGGCAATTCAATTTCTTCATAAACTTCCTGTATGCTCCAATGTAATGCATCATAACTTTCGAAGGAATTATCTATCCCAATATTCTAATGCTACAATTGTATTCCAGCTGAATGACCTTTAATCACACTGCTTGAATGTTCCAAAGATCTTCATGTGCTCACAAGTTAAACAATATAGAACGTTCATATAAGTTCCAGTTTTATAACCTAGGCCTATAAGATGTCGAGCAGTTTTTAAATGTACAAAGTTGGCCTGTGCAGTGTCGCGGCTTTATCGTCTCCGTCGTTCACTTTCACAGCGCTAATTGATAAGGCATTTGTTTTACGACACCCTTTGTTGACACAACTGTTGGCTTTCAATGCTAATCTGAGTCTATTAAGTACATTGTAGATCGATATAGCAACGAAGTGTTTACAGCACCCAGAACAATACATATGTGGCCTGATGGAGAGACCGCCTGTCTCAATCTTATAACATACACGTATGACATGGAAATAGCAACTTCTCTTGCAAAAAATCAATCATTAACCGAGGCGAAGACGATGAAAGCATTTTTTTTTTTATTTAATTTTTTTTTTTTTTTTTTTTTTTTAAATTTTTTTAAAAAAAAAAAAAATTTTTTTTTTTTTTTTTTTTTTTTTAAGATTTTTTAACAGTACATAATACATTTATTTAATTCATTTATTTTTTTTCCACGAAATATGCATTAAATAACTACTTATGCTCATAAATCAGCTACCTTATTTTGATCACATTGATAATTAATGTTTAAGTCTGATATTGTGTCACTATGGTATTTAATGAACACATCAGGTTATATCATAAACCCAGACTGTTATGTAGTGTAATAACACCATACACTTTCTATGTATAATATGTGTGTTGTCACCAAATGTGACAATAGAATAGGCAAAAAAAGAAATATGATGACATTGATTTCACATCCGTGGCAAAACAAGTGGTGATTTCCTTTTATTGGTCTAAATAATCAATTTAGCAATTGTCTAAAGAAAGAAAATAAACTCCATGTGTAAAGTAGACCAATACATATGCAGATATGAAGCAATATGGGTTAGAAACCTCTAAATATATAGCTATACATATTTACAAGTTTTACGTGATGCCAAAGCATTCACTGAATATCAAGCTTAACGAAGGAGCATAGATATATGTAGTACTCCTAAGATGTACATTAAGCAAGAAGACGATTTTGTTTCGGTCTTAAACTTTCCCTATCTTGGTTGTAACATCAAAGCTTTCCTGTTTTGTTGATATGAAAGTCGATGCTTTTGTTTATGCTAATGTGTGTTCCTTGTGGTTTTGTTGTCACTCCCCGAGATTCGATGAAAGGAAGTCACTTTACTTGGATTTGACCTAGATTTACATGCCGGGTATCATCGATGAAGCAGAAGACGTCTGTCCTTTCGGAACACCTGGTCATATTGTACTTGTACATTGTCAAGGGTTTCCATGTTAATCTGTCCTAAAACTGTATATCATAAGCAGAAAAATACATTCAATTCTACACTGAGCATACGTCTGATGTCTGTATATATTCAAATGTCCATCCTNGGATGGTGGGGAGGGGGGGGGGATTGCTATAGGCGTCCACCTGTCTTCGATCACTAGCCCTCCACCACTGGGTCCAGGTTTGAGCAGTCGCTTGTTACTGGCCGAATTTCGGTTGGTTTTGTCCTTTGAAGATTACGAAGGAGAAACGTCCGACTTCAAAGCCTGTCAATTTTTACCGTTACGTGACCGCGAGATTCTTTTGATGTATTTCAAAGGATCTAACTAGTCTTCTTGTCTCATCAACATGGTGGCGCACACCGAGCCTTCAATTTTGCTATGACATATTCTAAGGGTGTAGAAAGCGAGAGTGAGCGTAACCCCTAGATATCGAGGATGCCAAAATCTAGCTCGTCCTTGCATGACCATAGCTGTTAACAGGACGTAAAGCACAAATAAACCAATCCAAAGGATCATAGTGAGTTGGTGATAGTGTCCAGCATCACTTATAAATAAAGACAATCATAACTTAAGATTACGTTTTTTAACATTCTTAAAACACTTTTATATCGTGTTAATTTTAACCAATGACCGTTATTTTGTTGTTGACTGTTTAGAACCAATTCGCCTTGTTTTGAACTTCCTCATTTATACTTTACGGCTTTGTCTGATAAAGGAACACCCTATATTTCATTTCCGTGTTAAATGTGGCCTAATATCGTGGGACGAAAATAAAGCAGCAGTCTATTTACGAACTATCATTAGCGGTTGTTAGGTAATCCCTCACGACAACAAAGTTGTAAACTACAGCTAAAACATAGCGTGCCTGTTGAAAGTTGTCTTTGTTAGGTCTACTTGTATGACGCTAGGCCATTACCCTGAACCAGGTAGCAGACAGCACTGCTGACTGATTGCCCATCACAGGCCTAGGGCCGTCAGTTAATGATGCGGTGTCATTAGCAAATAACCGGAATCAATAATAGAAGAACATGGATAGCACTTTGGAATAGAGATTTAATTAAACACGCTGCTGCCCAATCAATGGATGGCTAAATCCTAGCTTAATGCCACTTAGTAACTCGCAAGCAAGACATCTTACAATAAATTGGGTTTGGTGAAAATAATTGTGTTACTATTTTGTTCATATTTTGATTACTTTTTACAATTCTGACTGCAATTTTGCCTATTCTGTAATGTGTATTAATATATATACAAATGGGAATAGTTACACCCATACTGTTTCAATAAATATGCATTCACTTACGAATTTATTTATTTATTATTTATTTCTTTATTACAAAACAAAGTGATTTTTCCCATTAGTTTAAACATATGTTGATTTTATCAATTCTACCTAGTAGAATGAAATTAAAGTCTTTTTCGTGTCTTCATCAGTGTCCATATGTCTATAATGAGCAATGTGGATCTTTTGCGCGTGCAAACACTCGTCACATGATGACTATATGTCTTCATTCACAACAATATGCACGTTTTTTTATCATGTCTGCACGCTATGGACAGTTGTCTGATTTTGTCTATTTACATGTAACATGGATAAAGGACTATGTATGTAAGATTTGCAGTTGCCATTTGGTCGACAGAGGACACCAATAATCACTGACGCAATGCTTTATACCAGATGTTTATTTCAGTCAATCAAAAATACCTATCTATTGACATATCTCGTCAACAGATGATCTCAGCATTTGAGAAAGATTTACAAAAATCATTTCACGTCAACTTCGCGTAAGGTTCGACGGAATATTCTGACCGTGAGCTTAACAGGTTTAAAGTAGATCAAGAGGTTTAAAAGAAACTTTTCTGATTGCCTGCTAGCAATTCTTCAAATACATTTACTCGTTTACCCTCATTCAACAAAGAAAATCCAGACCAGTGGCTCGCTTGTCTACATTTGTGGGTGAGCTTTTGGAAGAGCGTTGCACGTGCATGGTCAGTTGGAAAATATTTCAAGCTCGCGCGTTGTTTATCGTCGAATAATACATGGTTATTATCCAATGAAAAGTGTCGTTACATCGAAGGCGTTGTAGAATTTCGATCATTCCACTTCTTAAGTGTTTTAACTGTCACTTTATGGTAGTTATTTTAGATGATTGAGTGATCGTATATTCAAAATAATATTCAATACAGTATCACGTAAGTACCAGATTAAAATGACCACATAGTTCTACATTAGAAACAAATTCCACAACAAACTGCATACATTGACAAATTCAATCTTGCAAGCCCCGCCCCAAGTAGCGCCCAAAGTCACGTGACTCAACTCAAAGTTGATACAAAAAGAAAGAAGACCAGGAGGAAAGAAAGCGACACCAAAACAACTGGAAAGACATCGTCGGCATACATAATGATTACACTGTCTCCGGATACCTAGTAGATATTCCGGGCGTCACCAATGTATCAATATGACCACCGTATCAACAACCCGAAACATATACATTGTCGATTCACTTGGAAACATTACAAGCCTTTTTTTGTTAAACAGATTATGGCGTTGGCAAAAACCTCCAGATCCAGAACATCACGGATTTGCGAAATCGCAAACAGTATCTTGTTCTGCAAGTAAAACGGGTAATTTTCAGATATAGACTCCTCGACTCCATCGCAACATTGGACAATCCACCATAGGCAACAAAATAGAAACAACACGCGAGAAAAGTACCCATAAAGCATTAAAATGACAAAATATTACTACAAGCATAAACACATGGTTCTCTTGAAACCTGTTGGTCTCTTCAAACGCACCAGGATGCTAAACCCAGTCATAACGACGAGAGGTGATCACACCTGGGGCTGTGGCCAGGCTCTATATAAAAGCTTATGGTGGATAAAGGACTTCTTTGTCGCAAACCAAACGTAAAAAAGTTTAAGTAAAAACACAGTCAAAGGGACATGTTAATTGGTTGACCATTGTGAACATACCAAGAACAGTTTGTATTCCAATGCAAATCGTCTGATCATGTTAGAAATTTACCTCAACATGGTGAAACTAAGAAGAGAGGACGCTTACGATTCCAGAACACCTGGTCTTATTATCTTTGTAGTTTTGTAAGGGTCCCCATGAAAATCTTTCCCTTTTTAAAATTTTGTCCTAGTTCAATTTTAGTTCGAAGAACGGTTATATTAACGATTGTTGTGTTTTAATATAACTTTGTGCACTTTTTGATTGTGAGATTCATAAATGAAATAAAGAAACTTCCTTTGCACAGCTTTAAGCCTTCTGTGGTAAAATGATTGAATTATGATACCAAACCATATAAAAAGAGGATGCCACAAGAACTGCAACAATAAATACATAATATCAACCCGTTAACGACCTCTACAAATACCAATACCAAAGCAATACCCTTAATAGAAAAAAGTATTAGACATCACAATATGAGCAAACTCTATGCAGATATAGAAATTGTATAACTTCACATACTGATATATTAAAGTGTACTACAACTGACATCAATATAACAACAGAATAGCCGACGCTAAAGATGCGACCGAAGACATGTCATTATCATTTTTGTACCAAGGCGGAATAAGATTGCGTCTTCAGCAAGAAACACCAACACCACACAGGGAGAATTGCAATATCTATCTGCGACAGAGACAGATTATCCGACCGATTCATCGGGTAGTGACCAAGCATCATGTTTACCAGAATCAAAATAAACCTCCAATTCGGAGTGCATCGACCAACACGAATCCCTGTTTGGACACACTTCTCAACAACCTAACCAATGACTTTGACTACTTCTTCATCAGAAAAGCCACAAGTCCAATTTCAGGACACGATTTAACATCTAAGACAGATGATGAAGCCTTCCCCATCCCTTAAAGTACGGCACCAACACAACCTCAATGAGTAATCAAACATATGCCCAAATAACCCAAAAGAGCCTTAGTGAAATGTTCCTCAAAATACAACTCCACAACAAATGTGTAGATTATGATGAACCTACACTGCCAACATAAATATACGAAAATGGTATACAAATGGATGATCGTCGGCGGAACAGAAACAATCTACAATACGATGGAGCAGTTAACGCCGACGACCACCATCTTTCATTGACACTTAACTGTTAAGATAGATGAGACACGAAATAAGGGAGATCATTGTCACATATGGGTCATCGCATAACATCATACTGACTGGCGATTGATCGTAAACCTCCTCAAACTACAAGGCCATCATTATAAATGTCAATGACATTTTGTTTATAGCCAGGCGCCGACTGGGTTACCCGTTAAATCTACCCTGCCATCATGACCTAATGAATTAAGTACAAATAGAGTACACATTCACAAGGAGGTCAATATTCAGCGACTAGGAATTATCTTTGATATAGCAACCATTATAGGTGACACGGTAGTCTAGTGGTAGGACGTCGAACTCGTGACCGAATGGTTGCGTGTTCGAGTCACGTCACAGCACTGTGTTGTATCTTTGAGCAATATACTTTACTCTGCTTGTTCCAGTCTACTCAGCTGTAAATGAGTACGTGGTTGGACAGTGCTAGAATTGTTGAATGATAGCTGTGGGCCGAAATGGCAGCACCGGCTATATGCTCCCAAGGGAGTTGTGAAAGTTTGGTTTGGTTTGGTTTAGTATTGTTTAACGTCTTATCAACAGCTATGGTTATTTAAGGACGGCCTCCCCTGTGTTCAAGATGCAGTCCTCTATAAACTCCTCTCCCAAGAATAACTCAAACAATTCCCTGCAATTAGCCAGAGTGTACAATAGGGCGTCCGGCGTTTATTACATGTATTACATATCCACTGACATGGAGATCGATCTGTTACACATAATTCATAATATCTTGGTATAATGAAGAGCCCTCTCTTACAACACACTTAAGTCGCACAAATGACCGTCAAGTATTAAAAACTAATGAGCTAAGCGAGCCACCCAACCTGAAAAAACCTTCACGGAAAACAGGAGGTGTACCAACCCTCAATGCTTAAAGCTCGGTGCGTTGGATTTCTATCACGTTAGCCGATATTACATATGCATTCCCTGTTATTAGTGTAATATAGATTTAAACTTGAAACAAAAAAAACCCCAATAATTCTACTCATATAAATTTTGCTTGACTACGCCCTGGTGTCCACGGCTAGAATGACCAATTCCTCGTTTGCCCTACCACACTTTCCTACCTTGCACGTGCGTACAACGCGTCACTCTCTCATTGGACAATAATTCAGACCTACGATACCCGACGAAAACACCCGAATACCTTACCTATAGGACAATTATTTTCCGCTATTCTCCGAAACGCGGAAAATATGAAATTCGTGTAGTCTATGCGTGTGTGTTTTGGGAGGCTGCGATATATTCGTGTTTGTCTCCTTGTGATAGCGCGGAACTGATGCCGACTTTATAGTGCTACCTCACTGAAACATACTGCCGAAGACACCCAGCAGGACACCACAAACGGTCACATTATACTGACAACGGGCGAACCAGTCGTCCCACTCCTAAATTGCTGACCGCTAAGCAGGAGTAGAAACTCTCGGACAGGGGACAGAACCCAAAGCCTTCCTCACAGGGGCGAACGCTCAACTAAAGGCCAAACGTGAGGCATTGTTAAGATATTAGCTGGTTGCAAAGGCCCTATGACCATGGATAATAATTTGTGAACCGCTTTGAGACGACCTACGAACTAGGTTGTGATAAAGCGGTATGTAAGAACCTCCAATTATTATTATGATTATTTAACCAATAGCTTCCTACCATACTACGGCAAAACCCAGAAAAAAATGGAATGGGCAAGTATACTCTTTACAAAATGAGTCGACTCAAGACGAGCAAACGACAATACTTCTTCGACATACATACAAATTTTTGCTGTAAAATAAGATATTCTACCAGCGGAGACAGGAAACTATTATATAGCCTCACAAAATAAAACAAAGTAAAACATAAACACAATACCAATACAGGATCACTAGTAATGAAATGAGATATTAAAATAACCTCTGAGGAAATCACTGGCGACCTCTACAGAAAACAACACAATGATAAGTTTACATACGAGATGAGGATAACGTTATGTTGATAGAAAACGTCCTGATGTAAAACAACTCCCCGCATCTTAACACAGCATATACATGTATATGAAGAAGATCAAAATGCGATGAAAATGCAGTCGGACTCTCACCAAATACCGTAATTAAGATATTAAGTACTCGCCCATAGTGTACCCATCCATCGTTAACTACATGATTAAGTCCCATCGAATACTAGTGGTATCATCACCAGAGTAGTCAAAAACGGTAAAGAACCCATGGTCCCGTTCGTTTATGCGGAACAACCGGTTTGTCCGTTTTTCAATATAACAATTTCGGGTATATGCAGGCCTTGCAAGGATTTGTCAAGGCTCGCCTGACTACTAGGTCCGACCTTATTTAACAAACGAACAACTGTGGTCCGACCGGTTCAACCGTTTAAACGAAAACGGCCCACGTCACCAAGGAGCTAGGCGTGATATCACAGAAATGTGTATCATTGTATCATACCAGAAGAATTTGAAGCTACGCACTGTGATTTAATTGATTTGATTTAAACATATTTTATTGCAAATAACAGATGTTGCAAACGAATTGGACACAAGTTTTGCAAACTTATTGAAGTCCTCTACGACAAAGATTGATTGATTACAATACATATCACGCAATGTTAGAGCTACTCAAGTATACATATGACAAGAAAGAATTGTAGGTAAGAGAGGGTACAAAGAAGAGATCGAGATGTCTTTCGGAAAAAAATTGGACACAGCTAACTTTAATTTTATTGCATAACATAATTAGTTTTCATCTAGATTATGAGCCATGTGAGAGTTCATTTTCCACGTAGACGGAGGAGCTTGTGATAAACTAATCACTTTTCACACACGGCCTTCAGCTTGTCTATTGNAAAATTTGATTCCAAAAAAAAAAAAAAAAAAAAAAAAGCATATGCAAAGAAGATTTACAACAGTGACATCGCCAAACAATTTAATTCTTCAGAGACGTTTATACGTCTCTGGTAAAATTGAGCACAAAAAAAAAAAAAAATCTCCTTGGCAAAACTACTTTCCTTTCGATTAATTATATAGCATACCCCAAATATAATGCGTTCAATTGCAGGTCAAAACTTATATCCAAAAATCGAATAATGCGTTTGAATGAGTATAAAAAAATAATTTATCATATATTTATCCAAAATAAAATTTATGCATTTAACGTTATAATATTTGCAGTTATGCATTTGCGTATGGGTGTGCACTTTCCGCCCCAAACTATTTAGAGCTTTACTACCCGGGATAGTAAAAATCATTTATAAATTATAACGAGAAAGACCGAACTTGTGCAAGTCTCAGCCTCAGGTTCAATCTCGTTTCGCGCGAGAATTATCTCGAACTTCGTCGCTTGTGCGTTTGAACGGAAAGGAATTTATGCTTTTGCAAGCACTGTTACAACCGTGATCATTGTTTACTTCACGTCCAGGGTGAGGAGAACAACATCATACACGGTAGAGCGGTCCCCATTCATCATGATCTGAAGCTCACTTCACAGTGCAGCGGCTTGTACCTAAACATCTTGATTCCTCCACGTGTTAGTAGCGTATTCACTTTTTATAGTATATAGAACGTGACTCAACGTTGTGTCAATTTGTGGTGTGAATTCGTTACAGACCGCCATCGACCGATTTGGCTCTGTATGCATGGGTCATCGGTCGCATTGTCTATTGGGGATTGTTCCAAATCGTTTGGAGATAATCCAAGTTTACGGGGACATAAAACGTCCTGCTTTACAGAGCCGTTCTTGATTGAAGAAATATATAATGTTTTGTAGCAGTTGTCGCCAAACGGTGTCTTTCTTGAAATGTGTTCTCATAATGCATATTAACTCATTTAAAAAATAATCTAAAATCAAGTTTCTTGTTAAATTGATATTAATCTGTATAAAGAATGCACTTGCATATAGGCCTATATATAAAGTATCCTGACACAGACAATGAGATTTAATTAATTTAATTAATTATTAAAGCTATTAGGGTGAGGAAATAGTGTCAAAATTTCAAGAATCTAAACATGTTATATGTGTATTATTGTACTGAATGTGTTAGTATTCCTCATGAAAGATCACCTTTTTGGCAACAGTTGGTACAAAGCCCTGTACTAGGTTTTCATTACATTAAATAAGCATAATGCCGCAGACAGATGATATTCAAAAGCCTGGTCTGTCTTGTTTTGAATGACAAGACAGTTATGCACATTATTTTAACTTGAATTTGATATCAATGCCTATTAGCATTAGAAGTGTGATCTTAAAGCAAATTAAAGCAGACATTGGCATTTACTTTCAGACTTATAAATTGTGTTCAATATTGGCAGTTTAAGATACAACATTAAAATATTTTCAGTAACTGACCAGCACACCCTACCTGTATTTTCTGGTTTGATAATAGCAGAACATGTACACACAGCTATTTCCTTTTTAGCTCACCGGGTTCCGAAGGACCAAGGTGAGCTTATGCCATGCCGTTGCGTCCATCGTCCGTACGTCAACAATTACTTTAAACAACTTCTTCTTAACCACTGATTGGAATTTAACTAATTTGACTGGAAGCATCCCTAGGTGGTGGTGATTTAAAATTGTACAAATGGTGGGGCTGAGGGGCGGGGCTAAAAGGGGGCAATTTGGCTATATTGCTACAAACGACTTCTTCTGTAGAACTATACACTGGATATCATTCATAATTAATCAAAAGCATTCATGGGAGGCAGGGATTCAAAAATGTACAAATGGTTTGGCTGACCCTCCAGGGGGCTGAGGGGCGGGGCCAAAAAAGGTTATTTGGCTCTATTGCTTTAAGAAACTTCTTCTCTGGAACTAAGAGATGGATATCAGCCATACATTACTGGAAGCATCCCTATATGGTGGTGGGGATTCAAAATTGTACAAATGGTGGGACTGACCCTCCATAAGGGGGCTTAGGGGCAGGGCCAAAAGGGGGCAATTTTGCTATATTGCTATAAACGACTTCTTCTGTAGAACTATGCCATGGATATCGATCGTATTTGGTCAAAATCAAGAGTTATATTAAATTAATTTAATTAAACTGAATTAAGGAGAGTCAAAAACACACTCAAGGGTTTTTTGAAAGCCCTGATAATGTTTAGAAATCAGTTATACAGTTCAGAGAGTACATATTTATTTTCAATATGATATACAAATTGATGGCATCAAAAACTAAACATCTACTATAAAAAACTAAAATGCAAATTCAATTTCGGAAGTGGGTTTTAAACTTCTAAAAGTGTCAGCACATTTTCCTTTCTCAATAGGAAATCACTCAGGCGTTCACACAGCCAGAAAAAACCCACCTTGTATGTTTTATATGTAAATTGAATCAGGCGACTGATCTTTCTATATTAATTATTCTGTATATATGTTTATTCAAAAATGCAATTATTATTCACATATTAAATGTTTGCTCTTGTGATATCAGTGTTTTGTGTACATGTGTTTACGATTGATAAAACAAAGAATATTTACAGAACGATGCTCCAACAATCTCAGTCATATGAGCGATTGATTCAAATTTAAAGCAAATCACAGTTATCTGAAGCATATGGTATATAAATACAGTGTCATAATCAAATCAAGTTTAAAGTTATTAAATATTTACATTTTTATATATGATGGTTCATGTAAGTTCAAATGCAACCACCAGACGGTCCACCAGGGCCAGGACCTCGGAACTCAAGACAAATTGCACTGACCAACATTAACATTAAGGGATTCATGCATGGGACTCAGTGTTTTGGCCCTTGCATATGTTAGAATCATCTTCACATAGATTACCGTTTTGAGGCTTACAAGAGCTGACAATGTGTAAATATAAATGAGTCATATTTTTGAATTTTATTTTGCAGACAACCCTGAATACCTAACGCCCAAAGATGTCTGGGTCGTTATCTGTTGTGTCTTTTGAGGGGGAACTCAATGCCATTGTTCAAGAGGTATTATCAATAATTTTAGGTTAGGGTTTAAATTAAACATAAATGCTAAGGACAAGTTTAAGACATTCATCTTTGCTGCTGTGTCTAATTTGTGATTTTTGAGTTGATCCTCAAACGTAGACAATGCCAATGATATTATGCAAATATTATTACATGTCAATTGTTCTGGCTTTTGGTGTTGTTTGGAAGGTATTTTCTAATGCTTTTTTCTTGTTTTTCTGATATCTTAAGGATTGAGAGGAAATTAAATGATAAAGTTTAAAAAATAAAATTATTGTTTAAATTCATCAGCCAATTCAAGAAAATAGTTATAAGTTCTAATAACAAAAGTTTAGAACGATGTTTAATCTACCTGGTATTATACTAAATTCATGTAATACAGGTATAGATATATTCCAAAAGTTTGATTTGAAAATATTATTGTAAAAACCACTGAAGTTTGAACAGTGACAATCAAATACTCTAAAATTCCCTACGTAACAATTTGTGACTTGTTTCTTTTCAGTTTTTGGACTTCGGAGGATTTGATCGAACATTGTCAACTTTCCAGAAAGAATGTGACCAAAAGAAAAAACCTGTTACATCCCACAGTATCAAGTCTAAATCCAACCAAAAGCTCCTGGCCATTCAGGTAACACTCAGTCTTACATATTGGGGTACTGTAGCGGGTTCCCAGAAACCCTCAAAACAGGTAGTTGTACCCCTAGTTTTCAACAACTACCCTATGTAACTGGCTACCTATGAGTACAAAATCTCGAAAATGTATCAAATATACCCCCAAATCTAAACTTTAGTGAGAACACTGCTGTGGAAACATTGTGTCGCTGAATTGGAACAGTATGATAAAAAAAAACACCAACTGTCCAAGCCATTCGCCTGTCTGTATTTAAAAAACAAAAAATGAAAATAATTTGGGATATTCGAGATAGGATGAAATCCTAAGATTTCAAGTTAATTAATTATTATGTGAAATGGCAATTATTTCACAGTCGTGTTTAGCACTTTACAGACAATAGTTTTTTCTTGGTGTTTGTCTATAGGTCTGCCATTAAGATCAAACACAGAGAAAATGTATGCAAATGTTTGTAAAAAGAATATTTCCTCCCAGATCATCATCAAGTCTTCTGAATTACAAGTTAGACTTCATGCCTGTCTTCTATGCAACATCATGGTATCATGATAAATGTCTTCATTCTGGTGTCATAATTGTAAGAACTGTCATTATCTGGTGTTGTAGAATGACCTTATGCAGCAGTTCCACAAAGGCAAGCGTGACCGCTGCTTCAAACTTTGGAATGAGCACCTGCCCCCAAACGTCAGAGATTCAGATGCTGTAGCAAAGAAGCTTGAATTTTATCTCAACATTTACTTTGCTATTTATCCTATAAAGTTTGGCAGGGGACAGGTGAGTTCACAGTAGATGAATTACTTTGATAACCACATTATGATTTGTAAAAAGTAATGCTTTCATTAAACTAATTAATGTTTTAACTCTAGAATGAAAATTTCCTAATCAGAAAAATAGTTATTCAACATTTTTTAGTCCATATAGCACTAGTTCAATTTATATATGAAAATTATGTACCATTGAATTGTGATAAATTGGTTTAAGATAAATCTAATATAAAGGATGCACTGATCTGTATCAAAGATGTGTTTTTTTTCGAAACAGACTAAACAGAACATTATTTCAATCTTTGAATAAAATAAAATTGTTGCATTCCCTTATATAGTAATGAAAACCCCCCAAATAACAACAGTTAAGATAAGTGATGAAAAATGTCTTTATTTTTTTTATTACATTAAAAATAGGATTTTAAAATTGTTGGAACCAATCTTACTTTTAAAACATGGTTTGGGATGCTGTAGTTGAAGATGGTGCATATAAATATATAGATGGATGATAAGAGAATGGACAGGAGAGCTGAAGTTGATTCAATTACTCTTATATGGTCTAAATTAATGAATTTTCACAATACTTATTTTGTTGTTATTTCTGAAATGAAGAAAAACTAGTATATACATGTATATCGTTACTTTAGTTTTTAGTCAAATATTCAAGATATGTTTCAATTTGCTTTCTGCTCTGCTATTAACAAATTTACTCCAAAATAAATACATTGTGAAGCGTAAATAATTTACAGTAGTTATATCATAGAAGTTCTCATGTCTATTCAGAGAGAAGGTGACCGCTGTATGACAGACTTTAAGAAGTACTTGGAGAACCGTGGTGCCTCTCTAAGCCAGACGACTGAGTTTCTCCCATTCTACGCCCTTCCGTTTGTACCTAATGCCAAGAGTCATCCCTCTTATAAAGAACTCTTTACAGTACGTAGATTGACTACTGACCGATTCCAAAATTGATACGTTTTAAAAGGTTCTGACTGTGAAGTATAAACTTTTATTTTCTTCCTTTTAAGCGTTATGAGCGGTTATATTTTGTGGGGGGTTTAATTTCGCAATATTCACGCTTTGACTAATATCCACAAATTCTGAACACCAGCAAAGTTATCAAAAATGTTAACCACTTTTGCAGACCTTATCACAACATGTTGAAAACACTTATAACCCAATGCTGTTATGCAAGCTTAAATGAACTAAAATCAGATTTATCACCGGGCAACTGGGCAGTCCATGTAAAAACAACACTTACATATAAGTGGCCACATCATATTTATGATCAGTGTTTGCAATCGGTTTACCTGCATTTCGAGGTTTAACCCTTAAATGATGACACTCAAAAAATACTCTGCATAATAAATAGGATTCTGGTGCACAGCGAAATTTAACCCCTGCAAATTCGAAAGAGTGAAATATCGACCCCGCGAATTTAAAGTGCTTATACAGTATACAAATTGAAAGTGGTTCGAAAAAAAATATTTGGAAGTATGTAATAATCTGTTTTCTCATGACGAGAAAACATTTGTATGATGGACAGTATATATTGTATCTAGATACTGTTATGTATTTGGTGAAAGAAATAGAATGAAAGCAGAAATTTGATTTAAATATGTTGTTCCCAACAACAGGTACAAGATTTTCATTGTTCCATTTTGGCTGTGTAGCCTACAGGCTAAATGATATGAATATGATAGTTTCAGAACATAACAAACAGCATTAATGTCTTCTCTGGACTTAGTGTATCATGAAGATCAGCATTTACCCTTAAGAAGGGGCTGATACCCCCAATCCAACCCAAGGTGCTCATAGGGCTTCACTTATTGCAAAACCTTCAAAATACATCTCCTCTTTAGATGATGTTGATCAGAATTTATACTNCCCCCCCCCCCCCCCCCCCCCCTCAGTAGAGTGTGCTCATAGGGGTCACTTAGTACAAACTTTCAAACAACTTTTGTTTGGAATACCTGTAGATTTAGACCAACATTTGACATAATCACTGAAGTCAACTTAAGTACCCATTTTCCCCATTGAACTTATATCCATATGAAGTTAGATCTACTCAACAACCTTATGTGTATCATTCATAATTTCATTCAAGTTAAGGCCCATTGTCGTCTTGTTAATAAGAGAATTCAGATGTGTATGAAAATTATGAAAAGGCTTTCTGTTAAATTAAGATGACTGCCAGTTGCAAAGTTACTCTGAGGTTTTTGTCTGTTTTCCAGGATGCGTGGATTAAGGATCTAGAGAACAGACTTGAGAAGTTTCTCACATTAACCCTGAAATCAACTCCACAACCCAAACTGTTTGATCTATATGTATCCTTGGTGATTTATGGTACACTGTCATGTTTTATCTGTAAAAAGACATGCATGAATGAATTGATAATTTATTTTGGATGTATTTACTAGCAAAGATTTTTTAAGCTGATTACATTAACCGGTAGTAGAAATTGTATCCATGTATGATATTTATTGTTTTATGGATATATTCCTTAATAATAATGTAAACAGCGAGGCAACAAAGATGGAGATGACGATGGTGAGTTATCATTTTGGTTGAATGTCATGGTCTCTGAGTGACTTAATTGGTTAATTAACCCTTTCACCCCTAGGTAACTTTAGTAGACTCTACCATACATTCATCTGGATGAGTCCATCATGGTCTAAAGTGGTTAAAGGGTTAAAAATATGAAAAACTCATAATTCAGCTTCACTCTCTTTGACAAAAATGGCATCTTTATCATAGGGTGTTTGTATTGATGCCCCCCCCGCCCCCCCCCTATCTCTCGTAAAAATGGGGGGAGAAGTGGCTTATCAGTTAAAAGTACTTGTGGTTTCACTTAAATCTTAGCCAAAGTAAACATTTCTAATTAATTTTTTCTGTATACCACTGAACCGTGTGGCATCAATAAGAGTGTGTTTCGCTCATTTCTGAGATCATGATAAAATGAATATAAAGTACTGAAAGATTTAATGCCCAATCTATTTTAAGTCACAAACTTAAATATGACTTTCTTTGTCTGAATTTCATGAAGCCAAATAACCTATAATATCATGTCACTACGCAGAATCTTGTTATTCCTTCTGGTTCAGCAATGTCAGCACTGACTCAGCAGCTGTTGTCTTAACTCAGTTACCCCTGAAGACACATTTGAACTCTTCCAATTCTAAGGTTGGAATAGTTCATTATGAAATTTCATGGGTGAATGAGTTAATCCCATATCTTGTTAGTGGCAATGACCAATTACGATTGCGTGAATCAAAACAAAAAAATTGCCAGTGAGCAGATACACTTTTATGACGCAACTTTTCTCTATATAATTTATAATACATGTATAATATGCATATGAAAATGTTTTCTGCTATACAAATCTTCCATATATAGTGTTACATATATATCCTGCTTTCAACTTGGGACAAACACATGATTTCTGACTCCAAGCAGGGGATGGGCAATATGAAATGGCTTGAAAATCCTACTGAACTGCAACATATATAGATGGGCTTATTACCAGACATGGTCCTAATGCCGTTTAAATCAGTTTTACCATACTTGTTTTAATAAGCTCCGTGATAACATGGTCCATTGTACATGTGAAATGATGATGGCAAGACTGATGGAGTCCTAGGTCTTCCTGCTGTGTGTATGATAATGGAACGTATATCTATAATATGTCTTTGTCAGATAATTTCCAGCAGATCTCCCGCCTACAGCAACAACTAGTGGATGCAGAGAGAAAGACGATGTCGTACATTAAGCGACACAATCGTCTACAGGTATAACTGATCACCATATATATGCACGGGCATGCTGTCTTCACACTCTCATATCGTAGTTGTACAACTAAACACTACTAGACTAAACACATCAGTCCTCAAACTAAAACTCAGCTCCTGCCACACAGGCCTCAGGTTATGAAGAATTAAGGATGTATGTTACCTTACTGTAATATGTATCCTCATTACAAAAGAGTTCCGATCTAATTTCTAAATGTTAACATTATGTCTTTATAAATGCATGTAATGTTTTGGATTTATTGATCACACATTATTACCAAAGAATAATTAAAAATGCTCAGGAAGTTCTTAATTAAAAAATTGTATAAGGGCGTCAACTCTAAGACCAATTTCAGGTACAAATATACAAGGTTGTATTTAACCTTTAGTCCAAGCTCAAAAAGCTGTTTAAATGTTTGTGTTGTATGAGATTGTGACTGTACAGACTAAATACATGCACATATCGTATAGAAATACTTTATCTGCTCATCTCAGATAGGATTATATCCGTAATTGAAAGTTTGGCTCATTTTAAGATTGTTTCACGATCCTGTGCAGGCCTGGACAGAGACTGGTGAAGTTTGAGGACGTCTAGTCCAATCTCCATTCCATCTAACTCACTGACCCATATTTCTGCTGTATATAACCTACTATATAACATTACAGGCCTAGGGGTGTTACATGATTTGTGGTGTGCGTCCAGAACCAGCTAGGCACACACTGATTTTAATTAAGTCCTACTAATACCTGTTTTTGTATTGACTAATTTGAAATCTAATATTTCTGTCTTTTTAATACCAGCTAGGGCAACATTGGTGAGTAATTGGCATCTAGTTGTCATGACAACCAAATGTTATATGGTTAGCTCAGTCTTTAGTAACCATGGTTACCAAAATATTTGTTAAAGTTTTAATCTTGTGTTTTTTACCTTCTATGGCTCTTTGACCAAAATAGTCAAATGAGCATTTGTCATAGTGTGTCTTCTGTCGTCTTTCATCTGTGTTTTCAAATTTTAAGCTCACCTGCCCGAAGGGCAAGTGAGCTTATGTTATGGTGCGGGGTCCGTCCGTCCGTCCGGCGTCCGTCCGGCGTCAACTTTTTGCTTTAAACAACTTCTTCTCAATAACCAAAAGGCCTAGGAAGATTATATTTGGCCAGTAGCATGCTGGGATCAAGGGCTACCAAGTTTGTTCGAATAAATGACCTTGACCCACTTTCAAGGTCACAGGGGTCAAATATGTTAAAATATTCAAACAACTTCTTCTCAATAACCAAAAAGGCCCAGGGTACTGATATTGGGCCTGTAGCATGCTGGGATGAAGGGCTAACAAGTTTGTTCAAATGAATGACCTTGACCCACTTTCAAGGTCACTGGTGTCAGATGTCTTTAAAATCTTCAAACAACTTCTTCTCAATAACCAAATGGCCCAGGGTACTGATATTGGGCCTGTAGCAT